TCCCTGAGGGACACCACTCGTTACTGGTCTCCACGTGGACATTGAACCGTTTACCACAACTCTTTGTGTGCGGCCATCCAGCCAGTTCTTTATCCACTGAGTGGTCCATCCATCAAATTGGTGTCTCTCCAATTTAGAGACAAGGATGTTGTGCGGGACAGTGTGAAACGCTTTGCACAAGGTCCAGGTAGATGACATCAACTGCTCTGCCGCTCTCCATCAGTCCTGTAGTCCCATCATAGAAGGCCACCAAACTGGTCAGGCAGGATTTCCCCTTAGTGAAACCAGGCTGGCTGTCACCAACCACCTCGCTGTTTTACATGTGCCTCAGCATTCTTTCCAGGAGAATCTGCTCCAAGATTTTGCCAGGCACAGAGGTGAGACTGACTGGTCTGTAGTTTCCTGGGTCTTCCACCTTCCCTTCTTGAAAGCGGGGGTTACATTTCCCTTCTTCCAGTCATCTGGAACTTCACCTGACTGCCATGACCTCTCAAATATTATGGACAGTGGTCGAGCAACTTCATTCACCAGCTAAACATTCTCTACGTAACATGCCCAGTTCTGTTGAGTTTCTCCTCTTACAATAAAAACTTATTAGAAAAGGAGTAAAACACACTGAAAGGTTTTGCTGTCACAAGGAGACAAAAGCAACTATTTCTGTAGTCACTTTAGAAGACTAAACATGATTCACCTGTTTAATACCACAAACTCTAATACACATATTCTTAGTAGACCATCTATGAGTACCTACTTGCATGAAAAGGACTTGAAGGATCCGAGTCAAACACACTGCAGGCATCTGTAGTACTTGAAGTAGCAGAAGCAGGGGGAGGAGTCAAAGGTGTTCGGGGGGAGTTTGGTGCAGATGCTGTTGCTTCAGTCTCGCTCTCTGGGATGCGGCTGTAACTGATTTTCCGTGGCTCCTGTTGCAGGGGTGTAGGATGTCTCATGGTACCAGGCCTTGGATTAGAGGGGCGAACACCTGGGGACTTGAGAGGATAGTTGTATTTTTTGGGCTGAAATGACAAAAAAAGATAGCATTAAACAAAATCAAAAGGCCACAAGATCACCTAAATGTAGCTTCGTATTTATGAAGAGATCTAAAATGACTTCTGCTATTTGTGAAAGACACACAAGTAGTTTTTCAAATAAGTAAGTAAATAGATTGAATACTAACAAATCTTGGTGGAGGCTTGACATTTCGTGGCTCTATCTCCAGTGACTTGTTGAACAGATAATCTGTAAATTCTGTCTCTATGCTGTTTCCCATTGGATTCAGGTTTTCAAAAAATCTCTGAAATACAAGAAAGCAGAAAACTTGTCAGCCAAGCTACTTCTTAGCTTATTATTGTTTGTTTCTACTGCAGAAATGATCTAAACTATTCTAGAGAAGAGAGAAAACGCTGGAGTCAGAGGTAATGATAGATCCTTAAGTTATTAAATCTGTTTGTTGCCAGTGCTATCAGTAAAACCTGGAAATGTAAAGGCAGTGTAGCAGAAGAAGAAAAAGACAACTGGGCTCACTGGACAAATAAACCTAGTTGAGCGAAGGACAGTGAGAATGTGGTAGTTTCTGTTCCTGTTTAACAACTATCAGTAGTAAGACTTATCTTCATCCCAATAGCTAAGGGAAAAAAAAATAAAACTCCAGCAAAACTAACCAAACTGTCAGCACTGAGCTTTCTGCCCTTCCTTACAGTGAGACCCGAGAGATTTTATGAGAGGCCTTCTGCTCGTCTCTGGTTCAGTCTGATCGAATCTATGTGAAATCAGTCTGTCCTTACAGTGTATCAGCTGTCAGAATCACCAGGGAAGTAGCTCAGTGCAAGGACTCAAGGAAATAATGCCACTTACCCTGATGTCAAATTCCACTCTTAAGCAATACGGCTGGTTCTGGTACTGCTGTATCTCTCCTGTTATTTCAGCTACCTTTCTTCTCTTGCTGAAGTTTATAAGTTCCTTCCCATGTCGCTTGAGAAATTCAGGGTTGCCTTCTTCTGTTTTCAAAATGTTAGTTAAGTAAATCCCTGAAAAGCACAAGGAAGAGTTTCTCAACGTACAGTACAAAACAAGGAGGAAGGCAAATGACTGGAATACGAAGAAATCTTAGAGTTTAATTTCTGCACACTATTTAGAAAAATGTTAGGGTCAATAAAAGAATCACACCTAATTTTCAAATAAGGGCAACAATTTAAATATTTTAACATGCCTTTTCTAGAAAGCTGCCTATTTTGCATCAAAATCTCAAAGTCTACGCAACTGTCTATTGTTTAGGAAGCTGACACAACTGAACACATTTTGCAAGACGAGAGTATACTGAACTCAGGCTTTTTCTCTCAACTGTTCTGCCTCAGCTCAGCTCTACTCCATTAGAGACCCCAGCTAAGCTCCAAAAGGTTATTTTCAGGTGTTATTCTTCTTTTCCAGTCTCCACTACTGGCTTCATAATTGCATAAAATCATTTGAAGATCAGAAAGAAAAGAGTACTCTCAAGTCCACAGATAGAATCATAGAATGGTTTGAGTTGGAAAGGACCTTAAAGCTCATCTAGTTCCAACTCCCCTGCCATGGGCAGGGACACCTTCCACTAGACCAGGCTGCTCAAAACCTCCTCCAACCTGGCCTTGAACACTGCCAGGGATGGAGCATTAACAGCTTCCTTAGGCAGCCTGTTCCAGGGCCTCACCACTCTCACAGTAGAGAATTTCTTCCTTATATTCAACTTGATTCTTCCCTGTTTAAGTTTAAAGCCATTACCCCTTGTCTTATCACTACAGTCCCTGATGAAGAGTCCCTCTCTGGCATCCCTGTAGGCCCCCTTCAGATTCTGAAAGGCTGCTATGAGGTGTCCATGGAGCTTTTCTTCTCCAGGCTGAATAGCCCCAATTTTCTTAGCATGTCTTAGCCTAGATAACGTATCGGGAACTGTCATTATGACTTTTCTAAGCATAACTTGACAGAAATAACAGAAGCAATTCACGTGTGATCCTATCCTCTACTCATCTCTGAAGCAAGACAGGTTTCTTAGTTCACCTTATCTTTCTTTGCAGAGCTCTGGAGTATATCTATCCCCAATCTGTAAAAGGCCAAAAAAGCCATCAATACCATTTTCTTTCAATTTTGGCCTGAAGGCTATGCTGGACAGAGTTGGAACTGATCTGCAGCAAACATCCAAGTAGGCTGTTG